TTTCACCTTAAGCTTATCTGGTTGCACTTACTCTTAGCTATATCTATGCTTATCGGTGATTGTTAATGGTACTGAGGAGACAATACGAAATGTATGCATCTACCAGCCTTCGTCTTCTTTCCGTGCTTTTCAAATTGTTGAAGGGAACTAACTGCTTTAAAGGTTCCTGGAAAATCAGATAACTATTATCGCTGCAGTTTGTGAAAGATTTCGCTACAGGATGATCTCAACGTAGGTGTGACCAACGAAAACCGTCTAACGGCGTTCCAAACATTGTCGGATTTGTTGATATTCTTCCACCAATATTCTACAAAACTTGGAGAATTTCACCATTCATACTGACTACAATCAACTCGTATTTGCGATGCTGTTATTTCTCAAGCATTACTTTGATGTTACCTTGCAAACAACCCTGTTAGATACGGATGAGATTTATATCTGGTTATTATTCCTCCGAACCATAAAGCCGAATATCGTCTGTACTTGCAGTTTTGGTGAGCGGAATTGGGAGATGCTACCACATTGCCGGTGATGTTTACGAAATTGGTACAATAGTTGCTGATATCTTGCCACGAAATAGCTCAGAGTGCGTGAACCAAAACATGCGATTTACTAAGAGAGCGAGCCTTATAACTTGACACGAAAGATGACGTGGATACCTAGGTGCTCTCTTGTCAGTAGTGTCAGCTCTCGAAGGGAGACCAACAAGATACACGACATCATATGCTGTCGATTACCGTGTCCGAGATTGAGTTGTCATTAATCGATCTGATAGAGCCCTTCACGTTAACGAGTCGAGGCAAGAGGTATGGAGTCGAGATGACTGAAAACTTCACCCGATGAACTGAAGCTGTGGCCATTCCGGATTAATTGGCTGGCATGATAACGCATGTCGTGATAAGACGCGTGATAACAAACCCCGGAAATCTGAAGGATATACCGCCGTATTTTGAACATCTGTGGGGAAACTAGGCATCAAGAAAATGGGAAACAATTCATACCATATCCAGATAAACGGATTGACGGAGAGGATTACCAGGATGTTTAAGGCACGGTTGGCGTCGAAGGAGAGATTGGGAAGAAGCTTTGCCACTACTCCTGTTTGTTCACCCCGCGTCCAGACAAGCGGGTAAAATGCGACCTCCATTTCCGTTTGAAATACTGCAGAAAGAGCGAAACGAAATCGGTATACAACTCAGGACCGGGTGATGTGAAATTCTCTAATCAACAAGAGGAAACTACCGAGAGAATTTCCGATTGGTTCGGAGTTGACGTATACTGATCACGAATGTGCGACTGCATATGATCTCGGGGAGAGGAAGCTTCTGCCGAAGTGGATAGGACCGAATGAAGTAAATAGCCAACGATTTCCCGTATACACGATCGCTGCACAAGGACTGAGGCGGCGAACACATGCTATCCATTTGATGAAGTGGTACGAAGGAGGAGAACAAAATGTGATTTCTTTTGACACATTGGGCGCATTTCAGTCCTCATCACGGACACCGTTTGCAGATACTCGGTTGTCACGCAGCGCATAATTTTCGGATAACTAATCTTCCTGCTATTGCGGTGATCATTTCTCCATGGGCGTGCCTCACATAGTCTAGAATAAATATTTATTTATTTATTTATTCCGTTTGTGATCCTGGTGGATTTGTCTTCGGAAACGTCACATAATTCTGTGGAAGTTGCAAGGCTTATTTGTTTGTATTGGTAAGCCGGTTAGAACGCTCTGTTGCAGATATCGGCGTTCTGCTGAAATGCTAAGCTGAGTTGTCGGAAAAGTCGTCTTGCAATTGATTCCTGGAATTATCTCGTCCCTATGATACTGTTTCTCGGATACAACCCAGCCGAATGACAGCAAGTTTGCCAAATTACATTCTTCGATATCATTCAAGTCAAGGCAACATAAGATTTATGTTTCCAGATGGGTATATTTTTATCACTTTAGAATATCGAGTAAGGACGGGCCAAAATACAAGAATAGTAGTGCAATGTTGTATGAATAGAAGGAAGAACATTGCGGATAGGTGTCACTTGAATAAGCGGTCAGTAATGCGAAACGAATAAATATTTCTAGGCAGAATTCTAGACAGATGTCAGAGAATGAATAAACGGAGCACAGACGTTCCGGTTCTTGATTAATTTGCTCCGCATAGCGTTCGTGAGTTTGATGGATTTGGAGCGGAGCTGATACAAAAGCCGTAATAAATGAATTTTCGTGGCTCTGCTCCGAATACGACCTAGTAAAGCTGCATGCTGATCGAAAAAGAAATGCTGAAATCACACGTGTCATTGAACCCTTCAATCGCCCACCGTGCAAATCCTTAGAGAGTATAAGAGACCAGAACACCTACCACACGACCCAGCAGCTCGCAGTGACTGGAAAGCGTTCACAGCATTTGCAGAACTGCATACAATAAGTATTTTTGCAAATTGTTGACGCAAACAATGATCAACGGATGACAAGACGAAAATAGAAACGTGCTAGGGAAATTACTACGAATGAACTCATTTTGCTTAGAGTTTGTTTTGCAGTATTCCGGATATCTGGAGGTTAACAAATATCGTTTCGGATGCTTTTGCTTCGTGTCATACCAGGTAGTATTCACCTTCTTTTTGAAATAAGAGATTGCATCAGTTGGCAAGTCGTAGCCAAGACAAACAGAAGTTACTGGGCCTGTTATGCATGTGCCCTTCGACTAAAGGAACATCCAATGACACTTTCAAGACTTATGCAGTACAGCTATATGTGCATGACGGACATTTCCATATGATCTCGGTGGAGTTAGTCAGTGGTCAGTTTGAGAGTCATGACCTGACCTCAAATGTTGCTTTATCCGTAGTAAGAAGGTAATTTGTTGCATTGCTACACATGGCATTACAAAGAATGTGGTTCCCGAAAATAACAAACGAGTACTTCTTAAACTACGGCAACTGATTGGACACTTATACCTACAACTCCCAATCGCCTATGGTAGAATAGGAAAGCAAAAGCGACGTAGAATTAGGCAAGAAAGATACTAACCAGTGCCACTTAGTTTACTTAAACTTGTGTGCAAGGATTTGAAAGAAGGCAGAATACTATCGACAGAAATGGGTACAGACTCGTTTCTGAAATTGTTCATCAGCCACACACACACTTCGCTATCATTATACAAATGTATGCTTCAACTCGAGTTCTAGCCACATGCGTTTTTACAGAACCGCCTGCAGTAAAGTGTGCTTCGTCAGTAGTGTGATGCTTTCGGAAAGCACGGGACTGAAGCCGCTCGGAAGCGGCAAAGCGGTACGGACACAATTAATGCATAAACATCTTAAGAATTATAGGAGAGGCTTCGGGCAAACTGGAGATATAAATGTGAGTTGTGTATTCGCAGTAATTCTATCAGCATCCTCGATAATAATTCATTCATAAAGTATTGGAAGTCAACTCCACAACCGTAAGCGACTACCGGTTTGTAGTGCCTTGTAATCAGTTAGCTCGAATAAAAATGCTTCTATGTTTCTTTGCAATTGGCGCATCCATCAGCAAAACCGAACACCAATCGTCGTTTGGACATAGTGTACCATTAAGTGGTAACTTAGTTCAGCGCATAGTGTATTGCCTTGCCGCCTAGACTCAGTATTTAAACTTACGTGTACTACACACGACAACTGCGTATCTGAGCGCAATATAACCAGCTCTTCGCCAATGTGCAGAGTGATTATTACTTGCACGCAAATTCCGGAATTAATAAAGTAAGCTGTCGCAAAACTGGGCAATATCTCTTACATTATTACTGAGTACAAGCGAAGCAAAATGTCGGCAATGTCTCATGATATAAAACAATGTGTGGTCCACATGTTAGATCGCTTAATCGCAGCAACGGCGAAAGACTAAAGAATAAGACAACGGGCTTGTCCATCAAATGGTGAGTTTATGTCACACTAATAAGCCACTAACACATGAAACATGCGGTAAGCTAAACAAACTGGAAAGTCATGTGGGAAGTAATTATCGCCCATGACGTAAATAAGAGAGTTCAGCGCATCAACATAGCCGAGTTAATTACAAAGGTGAACTTAATTGAGGATATACACGCAATATTAACAATCTACACTTCGATTCGCCTAAAGGTAGCACCGGCGAAACGCTGAAGATGAACAAAACATATCTACCTATCAAATAGTGAGGCTATGATCTATTGTTTGAACAGGCGAACACACACGATTTTACAAGCTAAACAAACTGGCGAATGCGTACCTGACACTTACATCAACTTACATCACATGTAGCATACAGGGCAGTGAATCTCATCAAGCGATTCTGTTTAAGCGAATGTTGTAAATTATTGGAGAAAACACACGTGTGCTCACTAGACCTTCAATCATGAAATAAGTATATAAAGGCAAACATCAGCCCGTTGATCTGAGTTCGTTCATCGTCCATACAACAGAGGTAAGCAACTTGAAGTATGTCATGGATTGTTCAGTTGCACCGTTGGGTTACGTTGTATTCGTTGCCTGAGATATCACTAATATTATTTTAACCAACATTAAACGATTAAGTTGTACTACCATATGGTAATAACTCTATGTTTGGCGTCCTAATCTGACTTGCGGCTAGTTAGTTATCTCTTTTGGTTCGCTACGGCTTTAATCCAGATCGCGTTTGTGAGAACTTTTCCAACCTCTTCGGCCGCTTTCTCTCTGCACAGCGAAGGCTCATTACGAGATGTGCGCTTAAATGTTTGTGATCCACCAAATGTATCTCGCTTATACACACTGAAGTTTGCTTCCAAATATTTCTGACAATAAACCGTCCTAATGGTCTATTTCTGCTTACGCCTCACGTACGCTGCAGGTTGCTCTCACCAGAATAATTGGATCTCGTAATATGTCATTCAATTTATGCTGCCAGCTTCACACACTTCACTGCAAAAATAATCTGACACCGAGTTTCCACTGACGTGCTCGCTTTGATACTGTTTTGCAGGTAAGCTAACAGCACACAAATGACGCACACAGATTGCGCGGGTGCAGCCGGTGCTTGCCATACCGATGTGGATGCGCAGCGAGATGGGAGTGAAGATCAACAGGATGCTGGTGTTGACGAATCAAGTATTGTTGTGCAGGAGAATGTGTCCGTGGAAGGGCGACCCGGTGGGGGTTGTTTTCTTCAGGATGTCACGACCAAAGTTGCGGGTGCAGCATCCTCTTGGACATCAAAGCACCATATCTCGGACACGGTTCGGTACGTAGAGCCTACTGACCCATCGGCCGCCGTCCACATTTCGAGCAGGAATACTAATGTGGTCCACACACATCTAGAATTATAGATACAGTACAGTTTGCCTCCAACTTGTGGTCACACATCCCGTAATTGATGGATAGCAATCATCCACCAATATTCCCCCCACATCTTCATACCTTATGCTTACTTTTCTTTTAATTCTAAATCCGTTGGTATAATGTGGCACATCTTGGTGACGCAGATAAAATCACAACGTGACCCACAACAGCAATGAATCGTGTTTTTCTATCTGCGTGCAACGTTCTCCCTTGCCTTCCTGCTCACACCTTTCTCATCTTTCTCACGACAATTTCGAACAGTTTATTGGTAACAATAAATTCGTCTCAGTGCTGCGTGCGTCATCTTTCTTCAGTGTGACCAAGTGCTTGCAATTAGAAATGTTCGATTATAGTGGAAGCAAGTCGGTTCATCACGATTTGAGCGTGAGACGAGGTACTTCGGTGTTGATCGAGCATTATAGTCAAATGGCAACCAATATTTTCCTATGAACACGCATGCATAAACGAAAGTCACTTTCCGAGCTATCGGCCTCCGAATATCGCATCTTGACGATTCCAGTGAGATATGTATACAACGAAATAAACCGACCGATTATCCGCAAATCTCGCTGAAATCATAAATTCTCGATCAGTTCGAACCTATTCGACTGATTGTAATCTTTTTTTATCTTCCTCAACTATTTCCACTTATTGCAGATAGAAATTGATCGCAATATTTTACTGGTTTACAGCAACAACGTATAGTACGTAGCCGACATCTGTGCCACTGAATTAACATCTCTCCATCTCACCCAGAATACACTATATGGTCCATTTTGAGGTTTAGTAGACTGAGAATATTTTGAGTGATTTACCCCGAACACAATTGCAGCTGAGACCAGTGCTTCTCGAATTCGCTCGTTTGATCTGTTTTCCGATGTGTTGATTTGTTTACTCAAATCTCTATATATATTGTGAATTGCACGCAAATGTATTTTCTTCTACTGAGCGAAAAATAGGCATTTATTTAATTACTTAAAGCAACATCCAGTCCAAGTATTATTAAGGATTGATGAAATCCAGAGCCCAATTTTTGCTTCAACCTTTTGAGCGGACATTTTTCCGAGACATACTTGCGTCTGGCGATTCAACTCGAACTTCTGTGACTACCTACAGACAAAACGCTCCGCGACTGTAACTGCATTTGTGCAGATTCTTCAGTATTTTAATTGAAATGTGCATATAAATGTTGGCTATATGATAATCGTAATTTTACTGGTTAAATTATATACATTTGAATGCGATCCATCGTAATCGCAGGGCAGGATTTGTTGACAGCTCCAGGAATGCAAATGATGTGTCATACTTTGCGTTGGATGAAATGCAGTGTGGACTGCTTTAAATGTACTTCACCTTCATCTGTTGAATCCAATGTATGCGAAAGTGATTAGTTTAAGCGTTAAGTTTGCAGTAACGGATTTACCCACTGGGAATTCGGAGAATATGCACGCAACATTGCGAAATGTCTTTAATTATAGCAAAGCGGGCAAGTGATATAATCTGCACTGGAAGTTGCCCACGCCTCCTTGTTTTCATGCAATTCCTAATCGCCGCAAACGTGAAGAATCTTTGCAGTCAATGGTAGAGCGTATAGACTCACTAGCTAACCAGTTCGTCAAATATTTATTAGGGCTCTCTGGAACCCTCAGACTTCGAAAGCGCATGCTCGTATAATCCTATAGCAATCCGTCAGAATTATAGCCAGCCCCTCCACTGAGATAGATGAACTGATATTCACGCTATGACGCGACGAAAGTGCAGGGTTTAGCTACAGAAAGTAGTTGTCTAAATGAAGAAATAAATATAAGCGATCGACAGTGAGTTGGATCTGACTGACTAGTCGAGGGTTCGGTAGCCTTTCTTAACAGAACATACTTGGTTTCTCCGAAAGTTGTACAGCCAGGATAAAAGGTTTGGCTGTGGAATCATCAATCACTTCTGCACCGGTGAACCTACATATTAATGAACTAACATCAAGTCATTAATCAACACAGCTAGCTTACCGAGCGTTTACTGATACAACGCTGTTGACACCTCTGCAGCTGTTAAACAAGAAGGGAGCGACAAACTATTTAACCGATTCAACTCTGTTGTCGTGCGGATACCCTTTGCTTTTGCGCTGGATTCTTGCAGCGGTACAATACAATCACTTGGCCACATAGTTCACATAATTTGTGGAAGTTCAACACGATTACATATTTCAAATGACAGACTTCGATACGGTAGGCGATTCCACTTCAGGTGATCGGAAATAAGGTTACATTGAAATATCCTCAGCGTTAATTTACGAGACAAAACCCCGTGCACGATGGAGGCTGTCGGATAATACGCTCGGAAGGTGGTGCTGGGTTGACCACCAGTCGAATGCCAGTTGCGTAAAGTGCTAAACAACCATAGAAGACCAATGAAAAATGAACAATGATTTATCATGGGATAAAAGCAAGTGCTTTGTCACGTCTCGCAGCATGCCATAAGGTGCACATCATAATAATGAACATCCCACCATAATATGAACATCAGTGTGAAATTAAAAAGTCGAGCGTAAACGTTCAGTAATACATTGGAGTACTTTGGTAGTTGATGGAAGGCGTGGGAAAAGTAAATTTATGGTCACCCACTTGGGTCAATTTGATACATAAATCCGGTAGAAAATTATGCTTGACGCATTTCACAATAGAGGAGTTTAGGCAACAAAGTGCTGAGAACGAAGAGCAATACATAAACGTATCTTTGAAAACGTCCCAGTTTGAAGAGGATACAACTGAGTCCTGGGAGTGCATTCCATGGTTGGCAAACCCGAATGGAAAAGTTATTACGTCAAAAATCTAGACGGCTATATTGTTCCTTCAATTTTAAGCAGTTAACCCTGAGCTACGCGTTGTGGCTAAGTTTCAGCAAGTGGCGGCATACGTGGTTGCGGTCACTCAATATCTCATACGTTAATATGAGGTCGCCGCGCAGCCTTCGATAGCGTCCGCTGAAAATTCCCAGCAGCTTCAGCCATCGGTGGTAAGAGTGATAGCGCGGACCATTTACATTCTTTGTTGCTCTTCGTTGTGGTGTCTCTAACGCCTCTAGGTCGCGCTTCAACCAAGGTTGTGAAGCTTGGATATCCTATTCAACATGCGGGCGCACGTAGGAATTGTGCATCATTAGGAAGATTGATGGGCCGAATCTCCTGAATGCACTTCAAAGCATGCCGACGTGCTGGTTGCCTCTTTTCCCAGCTACCTCAGCTTGTTTTGAACAATTGTGGTCGCTCTCTACGAAAACACCAAGGTCACGCTCCTGGGAGTTGGTCTGCAATCTGTTTGTCCCAAGCAAATATATGTAGTTCGGTGTATGGCGGAATCGCACATTTGTCTACGTTGAATGGTAGGGCGTATTGAACTGACCAGTTCGACACCATGTCAAGATCGCACTGGAGCCGTTCGTGGTCATCCGGTACTCTGATCCTTCGCCCTATCTTGATATCATCAGCGAAATCTAGGCAATCGGAAGCGATTGATCACTCCAAATCGTTAATGAACACCAAGAATAGACTAGGTCCAAGCACCTAGCCTTGGAGTACACCACACACCACATGGATGGCATCGGATAATGATTTTCGGACTCTCACCACTAGTCGTCTTCGTGTGGAAAATTTTCGATCCAACTCAGGATTGGATCGCCAATGACGTAGTTCCGAATCTTCTAATGAAATATTCGATGGTCTAAGCTATCAAAGGCTTTTGAGAAGTCCAGGTTGATAACATCGAATTCTGCTCCATCTTCATCAGCTTCAGTCCATCTATTACGTGCAATTAATAGGTTGGAATAACATGAATGCTTTCTACGAAAGCCATGTTGCTCTGGGGCTATTAAGCTGTGGTTTTCCAGATACTGCATCCGCGCATCTGCGATGATTGATTCCAGCAACTTGGATAGCACAGGAAGTAGTGTTATCGGACCACATTTGGCAGGTTCGTTGCGGCTACCTCCTTTATGGATAAGAGTGATGACCCCTCGCTTCCATACTGGTGGAATATGGTTCTCTTGTAGACATCGCTGACATAAAACAACCAGTGTTCCTGCTAGATCGATAGCTACCGCCTACAGAGCATTTGGTCGAACGCTGTCGACTCCAGGAGAACTGTGGATAAGCTAGGATAACAATTACTTTAACACATCTTCCATAGTAAATGTGATGTAGTCTAATCCCGACGGTAGAGTAATATAAACGAGGAAAATGTTTGGGCTCATTACTTGCTGGTAAGCTAGGGCGTGATGAAGCCGTAGGGGATCAGATGCTTCCATTACTGATCGCGTGTATCCATCAGAAGTGACTAGTGTTGGAATCCCCCGCTTCACCTTTCGAAGACCGTTAACGTGCCTGTACAGTAGTTTGCCGTTCCTGCAGAATCTCTTCATTAGCTCCTGCTGATGCGTGACCTTGTCTTCGAGGATCAGTTCCACCCAGTGGTTACGATATATGCCACGTATGCAGTCCAGATTTCGGCATTCGAGCAGCCCTTGTGATCTTGCCATGCCAAATCCTTCCGGCACACAGACTTACGTGTGCTGCTCCTCAGAAATGACTTCTGCTTGTTTTTGTGTTGGAAGGAATTCTGTTCCGATGCGTGCGCAACCAGTGTGCTATACCTCCTTGTAAAGGTTTCCCAGACAACACCTTGGGGGCATTCGGTTAAGAAAGTCCAAGATGTATCCTTAACAAGCGTAGCTAACACATTACAGCGCGAGACAGTGTGCACTTTATCATCCTCCTTTTCAGGATACTCCACATAGCATACATAATCAACTAGTAGAGTAAGAATGTCACTACGATCTAGTGGTGTACTTCTAACTATCAAGTCAACCATGAGTTCATCGTTAGTGACCTCAAGATCCAGTCTTGACGGCTGCTTAACAGTTCGAAATCTGATGAGAGTGGTTACGTGGTTGTACAGTGGGTGGCTAGCAATTGGCTCTTGCAAGCAGGCTTTAAACT